TATCATGACACGCCTCCTGGCTTCCTGATTGGCTAGGAAGCTGGCGACACTTGTTGCTAGGTAGCGTGGCTTCCTGACCAATCAGAAAATTGGGACACTAGGCATGATGTGCCGTTCATCTTCATGATTTGTTAGGAAGCCTGGTTGCTTACCAACAAGTAAAACTGGCTTCCTAGCCAATTAAGGAAGCCGGGTGGCATATCATGACCCGCCTCCCAGCTTCCTAATTGTCTAGGAAGCCAGCTTCACTTGTTTCTAGGCAGCCTGGCTTCCTGACAGAGTTCTTCTTTAATTACATTTTATTAACCCTTGCAGTGGGGCTACCCCCGCACTGCAAGAGTTAACTGCTCATTTTTGCCTAGGGTCAACAACAAAAACATGATACTCACCTAAATCTAATTTTAAACAGTGCACCTAAAAAAAAAATGGAGTTTATTTTTCAAATGGTAATGTGTGTCTGTGTGTACTAGTCACTAAGAGTTCCTGTACCCCTGTATGTTTTGTCCTCTAAGCAAAATATCTAAACAACAGGTCTTGAATGATTCAATACTCTCTGCTGATACCACTGCTTGTGGAATGGAGTTCCACAACTTTACAGCTCTAACAGAAAAGAATCCCTTTGCATTTTGTGGTTTAAACCTTTTTTTCTAATTTCAGGTAGTGGCCTCTTGTCTTCTTTAGTGAGTTTACAATAAAAAGTTTATTACTGATATTACCATCACCATTAAACAATTTGTACATTACAATCTGCCCCTCCCCTCCTTAGTCGCCTCATTTCCAGAGTGAAAAAGTTAAAATTTTGCAATCTTTCCTCATAGTTATCCAGCCCCTTTATCAGTTTTGTTGCCCTTCTTTGGACTCTCTCCAGTTCAGGGACATCCTTTCTGTTGATTTGCAACTGAAATTGAACCGCATACCCATGAACCAGTGTTTTGTAAAGTGGCAAAATTGTTGCTTCATCTCGAGTATACATTCCCTTTTTCTGCATGATAGTACTCCCATTAACGTGTAATCTGCATGACTATTTTTAACACCAAAATACATAACTTTACATCTATCAACATTAAACCTCCTCTGCCATGTAGTTGCCGACTCCCCTATTTTATGTAGGTCCTCCTTTAATGTTGCTATGTCTAATATCCAGTTTATTACCCTGGCAATTGGCGTATCATCAGCAAACACAAAAACATGGCTATTAACACTTCCCCCAATTTCATTAATAAACAGTTTAAACAGTATTGGTCCTAGCACAGAACCCTGTGGCATGCCACCCCTGACCTTAGACCAATTAGAAAATGAGCCATTTATCGATACTCTCTGGACATGTTCCTGTAGTCAGTTCTCTATCCATGTGCACACCTTTTCATCAATGCCCATAGATTGCAACTTGTGTAATATGCTTTTTTGCAGTACCTTATCAAATGCTTTTGCAAAATCTAGGTACACTCTGTCCACTGGCTTTCTTCCATCTAGGTTGCTACTTACCTCCTCATAGAATGTTAGTAGGTTTCCTAAATCCAAGTTGGTGGTCACTTATGATAACATTACCACAAATAAAATCTTGTAGATAGCCTTTTATCATTCCCTCAAACAATTTGAATGCTATTGATGTTAAACTGACCGGTCTATAGTTCCCAGATAGGCATCTTAAGCCTTTTTTGAATATTGGTACTACCAACGCTTTATGCCAATCAGTTGGTACCCTTCCAGTCAGCATGGAGTCTCTGACAATTAGGAACAAGGGTCCCGCTTCACTTGGCTGAGCTCCTTAAGTACCCTTGGGTGCATGTTATCAGGTCCTAGGGATTTATTCACATCAGGCTTTTCTAGTCTTGTTCGAACCCCGACTACCATCAACCACTGCAGTTTATTATGAACAAAGCTGCATTGCATTTTCCATCATCTAACATATTTCCATTGCTTTAGGTTGGTTATGGAGGTGATATGTCAATATATCCATCTTTTCTGGACTGTAGAAACATTGCACTAGATATACATTCTCTTTGCTCAATTGCATTTTCCATCATCTAACATACTTCCATTGCTTTTAGGTTAGCTATGGAGTTCAGGATTCATATTTAGGCAATACCTCCATATATTCATCTTTATTCCGGACTGTCCCAACTGAACAAAGCCAGTATGATGGTTTTGTACAGCTCCTTAAATGTTTTGGGTGGACATGGGTTGGAATCATTACCACCGATGATGAAAATAACCTACGAGGGAGTAATGACATTAAAAACATACTCATTAGAAATGGAGTCTGTATCGCCTACTTTCAAATCATAGCAAGCAGACCTTTCAACAGCAGATTCCCAGCAATGGATGCTGTAAAATACTCATCTGCAAATGTTGTACTTGCTTTCTTGACTGGCATGGATCTTACTAACTTCATGTACAGTCTTCAGGAGTTTTCCACACCCGGAAAAGTGTGGCTTATACCATCCACAGTGTCCATTGCCGCCACCGACTCCTATTTAACCTCATTTAATGGTTCACTCGCGTTTGCTATTCACAAAGGAGAAATTCCAGGATTAAAGGAATTCATCTATAGTGCTAACCCCCTCACCTTCCCAGATGACATATTCACTGCCGCAGTGTGGCGAGATGCCTTTTGTTGTTTACCCATAAATGAGACCACATTTAGAGACAAACTGGGATATGCAAAGAATTGCACTGGAAAAGAAACAATGACATCATATGAATCTATTTTTGATGTCAACAACTTTAGGTTAACTTATGCTATTTACAGAGCTACTTATGCAATGGCCTATGCAATAAATGACTGGGTGTACTCAAGAAAAAATGAACAGACTGATCCAAAATCATATCTCGGATCAGCTTTTCAATCATCTAAGGTAAAATACATAGCTTGTACATTATTTATGTGATAAGTAAGACACAGTTTTCATTGGCTGCCAATCAGGAACCATCATGCATTGCTTTAATAGCTATAGGCTTGTGACACCTGCTTAAGCAACAAGAACTTAAAGAAGGATTAGTTGCATGATAATATTTATGAAGCCTAATTTCCTATTTCTCCTATTTTCTTTTTTTTTTAGCAATTTGCAAACTCAGTATGTGTGTCTACCATATTAAGTTGTTTAGATGTACAAGCAGTTGTGCTCTATTGAGAATGTGTGTTTAGGTGCCCAGTGGCATAACCAGAGTTATGGGCGCCCGGGGCAGACATTTTTTTTTCGCCCCCCCCATCTTCCGTGGACCCTGGTTGTGGGCGGGTGTGCCCCTCGTCATACAGCACACAGAGACACCCCCCGACATGCAGCACAGAGTAAAGAAACAACGTGTGTATTGAGAGCGCTACTACTGTTAGTATAGAATTGTTGAAAAACTCACATTTGAGAAGTCCTTGGAAATTCTCTGGGGGCGATTGGATGGAGTCCTTAGGGAAGTACGATCAGGTGGAATACAGTAGTATAGACGGCTGACATTTTTTTTTTTGTACGAACAGTCGCTGTGACGGGGGAGCAGCTCTCTAACAGCAGGACTCAGCTGGCCGGGCTGAGCCGTTGCGGCCAGAAGTGCTCTGCAGAAGGATACTGTATGACAAGTGCTGTCAGCGGTCGTCTCTCAGTCGGAGGGCTTAGGAGACGTAACGGTGAGGGCATTGGGAGTGTACTCTCCGAGTGACACAGTGAGGGGATGTAGAGCAGTTGGCGGTGATGTGTAAGGGGTAGATCGCTACGCGTTTCGAGGCGAAGCCTCTTTGTCAAGCTCAGGTGAAGAACCGAATTGCGGGAAACTCACGATTTTTTAAAAAGACAGCTGGGCGGAGACAGCATCAATCGCGCTGTCCTGATAGGTGGAGTGGTATAGTGGGGCGGACGAGTAAAAGTGCACACCCCATGAGCATAACGGGCAGCACTTGGCTTGTTACCTGCAGTTGACATCTCACATTCGTTCTGTCATGCAGGATGCACCGGGCTAAAGGATTCATCTATAGTACCTGACGAATACAAGGACAGGGACTTGTTGTGTAAAAGGAAATACGAACTTTAAAAGGTTTATTTAAGACAGATGGGACCTCAATCATTATTGCTGTCCATTTTTATTTAAATACTATTTGGAAATAAAAATGGATAAAAAATTAAAATAGAATGCAGCTGTTATTGATGCATTCAATATCAGGTGTGATTAAAAACCTCCCCCATGAAAAAGAAGGATGAGGGGAAAAAGGTTTAAAAACAACTGGATTAGAGATATGCCAACATCTGAAAGGTAGCGGCCAACCGATATGTGTTGTATTACTTTATAGAATGGTGTGAATTTCTATCTCCTCATTGAGACCTATTGGGACCAGAGTATTCAATTTGTATATCCAATAGGTCTCTCTTCTACAGAGAAGATGAAACCGTTCGGAAGGGGATAATTGATTTGAAATATGTTCGATGGCGAACACTTGAAGATTTTGGGCGTTTTTGTTATGTTTAAAAGTAAAATGACGAGGTACACTGTGTTCGGTGTCACCTTTTTCTATCAGGCGTCTATTATCACCAATTCTCGCCCTTAGGGGTCTTATTGTACGGCCAACATATATCAGCCCGCAGGGACACTTAAGTCCATAGACCACATGGTCGTGTGAGCACGTTATGAATTGTTTGATAATATAGGAATTTTGAAGATGGTCGTGAAACTTTGTTTGACCATGGTGAATGAACTGGCATGTCAAACATCTGGGTTTTTTGCACTGGAATATTCCAGTTCTTTTGTCAAATAAGAAATGTTTTGGGCGGGCTTCTGGGCCTTGGAAGGATCGACTCAGGCCTATCATGTTTTTTACGTTCCTGGACTTCCTAAAATTGATAGACGGATTGGGCGGTAGATGGGGACCCAATTTCGGGTCTTTTTGTAAAATATGCCAATGTTTGCATATGACTTTCTGTATGGCTGTGAACCCATTGTTAAAGGTGGTGATGAATCGTATTTTCTTGTCCTCCCTAGCAATGTGGTCATGTGTTGAGTCCAGAGGTTGGTCTGTTTTTGAGTGGCCGGAAAGAGCCTCCATGATAAGTTCCTCTTGGTATTCTTTTTCCCTAAAGTTATTGATGAGAAGTTGACTGGATGTGACATAATCTGTATTCTGAGTGCAATTTCTCCTGAGTCTACAGAATTGGCCCTTAGGGATATTACTCTTCCACCTCGATTGGTGACAGCTCTTATAATGAAGGTATGAATTACCTCCGGTTGGTTTTACGTGGTTGCTTGTAATGATATCCTGGTTCTTAAAGGACAATTCAAGGTCCAAAAACACCAATTTGGTGTCGTTGGCCTCAAAAGTAAACGATAACCCAAATTGGTTGTCATTACAATGAGCAAGGAACTCACGCACGCTATTGGTAGGACCATCCCAAATAATCAGAATCATTTATTGTACCTGCCGTAGAAGACCAACCGTTTAGAAAATGGGTTGTTGCTCCAAATGTGGAGTTCCCCATGGTCAATGTGGAGTGGCCCATGGTCAAATTGGCATAGCTTGGGGCAAAATTTGCCCCCATAGCTGTCCCTTGAGTCTGTAAATAGAACTTGCCCAGAAAGGAGAAATAGTTATGTGTGAGGGCGAACTCTGTACAATTCAAAATGAACTGTGCTTGGCTATGGCGGATGGAGGATTTGGTAAGAAAATAAAGCAAGGCGTTTAGACCCACTTGGTGGGGAATGGATGTATACAGAGAGGTGACATCTAACGGTATCCAACTATAGGACGAGTCCCATTTGTAGGATGATAAGGCCTGAATAAGGTGTCTGAAATCTTTGATAAAAGAAGGAAGGGATGCCACTATAGGTTGGAGGAAATGGTCTATGTAGACAGAGAGGCCACTGGTCAAGCTATTAGTGCTGGCGATGATTGGGTGCCCTGGAGGATTATTTATATCTTTATGTACTTTCGGGAGGTGATAAAAATAAGGGGTACTGGGAAATTTTGGATTCAGAAAGGTTCTATCTTTTTTATTGATAATGGCTTTTTGGGATGCTGTAGTGATCCCCCTTATTCACCCCCCACACATAAAATAATACACTCCCCCTTATTAAAGTGACATTAAAGGCAAAAATAATTAAAGGCATTAAAGGCAAAAATAAATGTTAGCACTTACCTTAACCAGTTGACATCCGGGGTGTTAAACCCCCTTCCCATCCAGGCCATTTTTCAGTATTCAGTGCTGCGGTACTTTGACTGACATTTATTCCGTCATGCAGCGCTGTACTGAAATGAATTTTATACCCTTTTTTGGGGACAGATAGAGCTTTCTTTTGGTGGTATTTAATCACCACTGGGGTTTTTATTTTTTAATATATTAAGGAAAAACTACAGATTTTTTTTAAAAAAAAAACAGTTCCCCCTATATTAAATTCTAAAACATTTATTATTACCACATTTTTTGGTAAAATATAAAAGACGGGGTCACGTCGGGTAAAGAGACACCAAACATGTCAAGCCTTAAAATTGCACATGCGCGCGAAACCTCAAAAAAACTACATTACCCAAAATTGGCCATAGGCGACGCATTAAAAGCTTTTACCGCTCATCAGTTTAGTGTTATCAGTGATTGATGGCCCTAAAATGATTGCTCTCACTGCGACGTTCGCAACGATACGTAACATGTGTAGCGCAATTGTCATTTTCAATATTTATACATCTGTTTCATTAAAATATTATCTGGTGATCCTGCAATTAAGGTCTTTCGTGGGGCACATGACAACACTCTGCACATGTCTTTCAATTGTGCTCCCAAATTGCCTCATGGGCATCCACTAGAGACTGCAACTATCTCTCCACAAGTGTTTGTACTTGAATCACATTGTCCTCCACTGGATGTTTACATGCTTTGTCTCATCCTGTTACTTTCCCAGCTCAATAAATATCTTAAGAATGTTAATTTTGAAACATCATCGGGGGATAATTTTCATTTTGAGAACAGAGGAACTGCAGGAGAATATGACATAATGAACTGGTACGTCACTCCCAATAAAACAACACAATTTATACAGATTGGAAGCTACATCAGTTTTGCACCTCCAGGAAAGCAACTTGTTGTCGATGAAAAGCTCATCCAATGGCATCCTATATTCAAAGAGGTAAACACCATTACAATTTTTATAACTGCGTAGTGTGACCACCCCTTTGTCACAGCTAGGGATAAGGTTCGGATTTGCCCAATCATGAACTCATGGACGATCTGTGGAGTTCTAATTTTTCATTTGAAAAAAAAATAGTTGCCATTAGTACAGTTCTCCCATGAAAGTGCCCTGCTTCCCATGCTGTTTTGGACAATAGATTACCTATTAGCTACCTATTAGCTCTACAGATGTGCAGAATTGACTAGGATTCGGGATTTACCCAACCATAAACTCACGGAAGATTACTGGAGTTCGAATTTCGTAAGACATTGGCACAGTTTCCCCATTGTAACAATCGTATCTCCTCACGGCCGGGACCGGGATCTGTCCGCGCTACTGCGCAGGCTCGCCGCGAGGCTCCACCCACTCTCGGACGGGGTCCATCGCCTTTACTGCGCGCCTCGGGACTCCGCCCACTCACTCGAGCCGTCGGCATAAAGCCGCGGTGCGCTGATTGATCGGCGTCCCACTATTGTTGAAGCAGGACGCTGATCAATCCAGGCTACACTACAGGAACCAACCCACTGGAGGAAAGAGCTCACCTTACCTTCTCTCACTATTTGATTCTATTGATTCTAAATGAACTGCTCATTGACCAATGCAACCTATTGAACTGCCTAATGCTTCCAAGTCTTACTAGCAGTGAACTGCATACTGTTTCATTGACCCATTGAACTGCCTTTCTGATTCGGAGTCTGCATAGCAGTGAACTGCATATTGATCCATAGTAATTACTCAACTGCCTATTGTTTTACTGAATCTGCATAGGATAGAGCTGTAGACTTACCTATACTCAAGCATACTGATTCACCTATTGCCTTCTCCATACCTACCTTATTGTTGCTATCTAGGGTGACGTGTTGCTATACGGGGTGTGATGTGAAGCAGCTCCCTCTTCGCCTTATTCACATACTGGGCATCAGAGGTAGAGCTGCAATCTGATACCCGTCCTTCTTGAATAGAAGCCATATCCGCAGCTGCGGTCCATAAAGCTACCACCCCCGGGGCAAGGTATTACACCCATGAAAGTGCCCATGCTACTACAGTAGTTCTACAAATGGGGAGAACTAACTACCAGATTTGCCATGAACATAAATGGAGACCACCAATGAGGTAGAGCACTGGAGGGCTTGATGTGTTTTACGCTGTTGCGCTTAGTTATCAGGCTATCAGAATTCATCCCCCTCCCATGGACTGCAAAGCAATTCACTAAAAAGTTCATATTCGCCAAACTTCAAGCAGATTGAATTTTGATGGACTCATCACCAGTCACAGTTCATTACCATCTGTCTGGCAAAAATGATACTGTAAGGCAGGGTAAGGACACAATTAACTTTATTAAAGTATCCACTGTTAGAAAATATTGCTGACATAGCAGACACATTGTTGTCTAAAGCCCAATCTTGCCAACAATTATAGCTTGATCATTACCCAATAGAAATCGTTTGAATAATGGAGCAACATAAGTGCAGTGTTACATTTTTGCTTTCTGAATGGACTTGCCACAGATCTCACCACCAGAGTTCACAAGGAAAAACCTTGTGGGTTCTTCACACTGTGTGGAAGTCTGATTGTTCAGAGGCTTTGCATGTCATGGTAAATTAGGTGTGTAGCCAATATGTGGATGGTTTTATAAGGCATGGTAAAATGGCGACAGAGCTTAAATCTTTAACTGATAAGGCACTTGTCATACCCAGCAGACTTGTTAATCATATGGAATTCCAGTGCATTTTACTGTTATGTTAGAATAATGGGGAAAATAACTAACAATTCTGTAAACCTGAATACTATAGAATATAAATTATAGACCTCATGAAATCTGAACTCCAGATAGATACAAAAGGCACAAATTAATGCAGTTCTGTATTCATTAATACAGTTTTAAATGTATGTTTTCTAAATGTAAGCAGTGTTCATACCCAAATTTGATCTGGTATTAGCTTCTGAAATCCCTATGCTTCACTTCTACTATGATCTCCGCTGCGTACAGAGTAGCAGAGATCCAGATGAAAAGCTGCAGGCTGTGCTCTGTGCGTGGCCAAGCAGTGGAGGATCGGTACATATCACTGACACGTACTGATTCTCTGTGTGCAGAGCTAACACTGGAGCGATCATCTGATCACTCCAGTGTTTGTAAATAACTGGGGACACATAGTACTATACACTGAGTGGCCAGATTATTATGACCACCTGACGTTTGTAGGCAAATTAGCTATAATTAGCTATAATTTTGCGCTGAAGTTGCTAGAGGGCCAGACCATTATAAATAGGGAAGCAGGTTGTTTACCACGACAGTAGAAGTGATTTTTTTCTGAAGATATGGGTAAACAACGCGATTTAACAGCCTTTGAATGTGGGATGATTGTTGGTCAGCGTGGCCAATGGGAAGTGCCATTTAGCCCAGTTAAATACGGTTTTGATTAAAACTATTTTTGTGTATCGGGACAAGTAGATTGTCATGAGGGACAAGTAGATTGGGCCCCCGCTTTAGCCCTTGGGCAAGTATTTTTTTTAAATTTCCACACCCCTGCAGATACAACTACTGATAAAATATCTCTTTATCAACACAGTAAAGACACAGGCTGGACTATTACTATATAAAGGAACATTCACAATCACAGAGAAGGCTAATATCTCCTAAACCCTTCACAACCCCACCATGACCATTTACAGATGTATTGAAGTAGGTGGGTTATACTAAACTCAATGATGGTGTAGCATGTCGACTTTACTTGTTTCTAAGACCGTTTTGTTCTGCTTCTTCTGGAGCTGCAGTAAGCTTGTGTATTTCTAACAATATATGTGTGAGTATTCACAGTTCGAACCCAGCTCTATAATGGATAGGAGGGGACTTAAAAAGTGGGGTATATATCAGTAGCCGGTGAGCTTCAACTTGTGTCATTAAAAAGATTTAGGGGGTGTTCATGAAGGGGCCAAAGGATCCAGGCGTAGCTTCAGGTGATTCTTCGGCCGCCTGAGCCCTTCGGTTTAACTGAAGGGCTGCTGTATGGGCTCTTCACTATAGCCCGTACAGCAGCCAAAGGCGGCTGAGCGGCTCAGCCAAACGGCTCAGCCGAGCCGAAGGCATATGCTTCAGCTCGGCTGAGCCGAAGTGACAACTGAAGCGGGACGAACGACCTGCCTCTCTTCGGCCGCCGTTCGCACCCCGCAAATGACAGCTTGGCGGAGCCAGCCGTGATGTCACGACTGGCTCCGCCCAGTTGTAATGACAGATCAGCATCCCCAAATGGCCTGGGGACGTTGATCTGTCATTAAACAATAACAACTGGGCAGAGCCTGCCGTGACGTCACAGCCGGTTCCACCCAGTTGTTATTCATTGGCTGGGACCTGCTAGAAGACTCTAGCAGGTGATGAGCAATAAAAAACAGTTGAGCGGAGCTAGCTGTCACCACTAGCTCCATCCAATTGTGTTTTCATTTTTTTTTAATCTTCCCATTTTTTAACAAATTTAAAATCATTTTTGCTCGGTACCACAGAGGTACAGAGCAGAATAGCCGTGCCAAATGCCGCTCGGCTATTCACTCACTACCGTTCGGCCCCATGTTGGATCAGCTGAGTTGAAGTCCTTCTGCCCTTCGACTCAGCCGAACATGCAAAGCATGTTCGACTGAGCGAAGGCAGTCGATGCACGGCTGATTTTAGCTGATGTACGGCTGAAATCAGCTGTACTGAGGCGGAGTGAACAGCCGAACGTCGTTCGGCTCTGTTCCCTTCGGCTCGGTTATTCACTCGGCTGTCGTTTGGCAGCTTAGTGAATAACACTGTTAAGATTATCTTAGATGTTACTGTGATTAACCCCTTCATGACTGAGGCCCTTTTTTCATTTTTTGCACCCATGTTATATTCCACATTTTAGGCCTGAAAATGACTTAAAACCCCCCAGCATTATATATTTTCTGAATGCCAATACCCTATAGAATAAAATGGTGGTAGTTGCAAATTTTTATGTTGCGCAATATTAGCGCAACTCCTTATTAAACCCCAACATTTAGTGAAAAATTTAATTTAATGCCCCAAAACACAACAAAATACCAATTTTTTTAAATGACATATAAAAGATGAGGTTACAACAAGTAAACGACCCAACATGCATAGGTTACAAATTGCGTGCGTCCATGAAACGGCGAAAAACTGCAGTACCCCAAAAAGTCAATAGAAGACGCTTTAAAAGCCCCCACAGGTCATCAATTTAGAGATACCCCAAAATACTGGCCCTAGAATTATTGCTCTCACTCCGGCGTGCGCGGCGATACCCAACATGTGTAGCGCGTTCGTCGTTTTCATTCATAGGCGCACCCGACAGTTTTTTTTACTTTACTTTGACTGCTATCACATAGAGGGGCTTACAAGCCCCCCCATGTGATAGCAGATGGTCGTGACAGGTACTCTTAAGTTATCTAGTGGACAACCAAACTTCCACATAATTAACCAAACAGACATTTGCATCCAATGTCTGCAGTATACAAGGAAGAATCTGGCGTGAACATTGACTGCTGGGAACAATGTCTCTGACTGAAAGAGCAGAGTGTAGAAGAATATACCGTATATACTCGAGTATAAGCCGAGATTTTCAGCCCATTTTTTTGGGTGAAAAGTGCCCCCCTCGGCTTATACTCGAGTCAGCGCCATGTGTCATCTTACTTACCTCGCCGAGCGTCGCGTCACTGCTGCTTCGGTGTGCGGCGCTCCGAGCGGGGTCATCTGGCAGTCTCCGGGTCCTAATTTAGGTGGCCGGAGACTGCCAGATGACCC